ATAATATACAGGAAGACCTGCCAAACAGAATTGTTTCCAAATATCTGCTCCCAACACTGGGCCATATGTCACAACTCAGACTGATCTCCATGTAGTTACAGGTGAAATTTCTAGCAGCTTTGTTCTTCCAAATTACACACACACATTCTCTCTCTCTCTCTCTCTCTCTCTCTCTCTCTCTCTCTCTGTGTGTGTGTGTGTGTGTGTATGTGTGTGTGTGTCTGTCTCTCTCTCTCCCTCTGTCTCTGTCCTCTCTGTCTCTCTGTCTCTCTGTCTCTCTGTCTCTCTCTCTCACACACACACAGACAGACACACGGGTTGGGGGTGGGGATTGTGACAAGGTCTCTTGTAGCCTAGGCAACTTCAAACTCACTATGAAGCTGAGTATGGCCTTGAACTCCTGACTCTAGCTTCTACCTCTCAAGTGCTAGGATCACCTAATTTGCTATATTAAAAAAAATATTTCTGGGGGCTGGAGAAATGACTCAGTAGTTAAGAGTACACACTGCTTTTTCGGAGGATCCAAATTCAGTTCCCAGCACCCACATCAGAAAGTTCACAAAACTTGTAGTTCCAGCTCCAGGGACATGGGTCACTTCTGGCACATACATGCACATCCCGCACACGGATACATATAAGTGCACATAATTTTTAAATAATACTTTTAAGTTCTCTATAGCTACTTTCTAGCTTTAAATTTTGTGTCTTTTTTTTTTTTCTTGAAAGCCTGTGCCTGAATTGCAACTATAATCTCTGCTTATCTGTTGATTTTTCATGTTCTCTTAGGAGCCTAATTATCTCTGGTGACCTGTGAAACTAAAAGCAGACGTGCTCTTCTTCAGATTAATTTTTATTATTATTATTTTGTTGTCATTGTTTTGTTTGTTCTGAGACAAGGTTTCATTATGAGCCTTGGCTAGCCAGATAACTTTCCTCCTGAGTGCTGGGATTAAGGGTGTGAGCCATACAACTGTACCCCACTAGACAAACACTCTTTTTTTGCTCTCCTTTTAAAAAAATTATTTTAAAACAATCTTTTCTCATTTTACATACCAATTCCAGTTCCCATTCCCTCCCCTCCTCCCAATAAGCACTCTTTACTTGGGTTCTGGGGATTCCAACTCAGGCCATCAAAAACTAGCAAGACAAACACTATCACCTAGCTGACTCCCCGCTCCTGAATCTGATTTCTGCAAGGTTGTGGAGACATCAATTGTTCATAGTTTGAGAGGTCTTCCTTATTTTTATATTAAAGAAAAGATTTTCAGGGACTGGAGAAAAGCAATTGCTCAGCAGTTAAGATCATGAACACTCAGGGTGGTGTTGGCACACTCCTTTAACCCCAGCTCTTACTGGTCCATAGAGTAAGTTCCAGGACAGGCTCCAAAGCTACACAAAGAAACCCTGTCTCATAAATAAATATCACGTATGCTCTTGCAGTGGACCTAAGTTTGGTACCAAGTACCCACACTGGGCAGCTCACAAATGACTGTGGCATCCCTGGTTACCTACACTCAAACACACACAGACACAGACAGACAGACAGACAGACAGACAGACACACACACACACACACACACACACACACACACACACACACTTAGCAACAGTAAAACATTTTTAAATAAGAATAAGCTGGATGAGACAGGATCTCACAGGATAGCGCAGGCTGGACCCAACTCCATGATCCTTCTGCCTCTGCTTTGACAGGATTGAGATTGCTGGTGTGTGCCACCACAATTGGCATAGCTTGAAATTTCTTGACATACCAAGCTCTACTCCCGAGGATGCAAAAAGACTTATCAGCCACACTTTCCAAGAAAGAGCTTTAAAGGGAATTCCCCTTTCCTCTTCTTTGAACTGTGGTGTTTAGCTCTGCAGCAGCATTCTCTGGGGTTCCTTGGGGCTCAGGGGTTATACAGTAGTTTTGTGTCACATTAGCTTGGAATGTGAAATCCTTTTTCTTCAGCTTGACTTGAAGAGTCTGCTCTAAGCCTCTTCACTTGGAGCAGGCCCTGGACTTTCACTCTTATATCTCTTGCCCAGTGTAGTTGTCAAATTGAAATTCACAGGTTCAATATTTGCCAAGGCTCTCATGTCATAAGTGGTTTTGGTGTTCCAGCTTATGAGTCCTCTTGTTAACTGTCTAGTTTCTAGTTTTCACTTCATAACTGGTCTGGACATTCCTCACACTTTAAAGCATTTCTGTGTTTGTAAGAATATTATATAAGCCAGGCATTGGTGGCACATGCCGAGTGCTAGTCCCAGCACTTGGGAGGCAGAGGCAGGCGGATCTCTGTGAGTTCGAGGCCAGCATGATGTGCAAAGCTACACAGAGAAACCCTGTCTCGAAAAAAAACAAAACAATATATTATATAAGTAGGCATATTGGCTATTTATTAACAGATATGGCTGAAGATTTACCCATACTGTGACCTTATCGGCCAATGGTCTTGGTGTGGGGGCCTTGGACATAAATGTGCCGGAAGTGACTTCAGTATTGCACGGGTCTCAATCATCATTAGGTATCCAAGGTCTTGACAGAACTTGATATGTAGACACTGGCCAGAGCCTGGCTAGATTCCTTTCTGCTTATCTTTCTTGTGTTCAAGTCAGGGTCTTGATCTGGTGTGGAATCTGCATGGCTGTGATCACAGGTTTCATGCCTCATCCATGAGTTCTGCAGACCTCCATGCCATTTGAGCAGACCCTTTGCTCCACACCCTTCATATCAGTAATGGCAAAGGTCAAGCCGTGCTGCTCAGCAGTGCTGGTGCTGAGTACTAGCAAAATGTGACGGAACTTCTCGGCAATCACTGGAGACTTGGTCACCAAGTAAAGTCATCCATTCTCAACATTAAGGAAGACAGCAGGAGTATGTGGGCATCCCGTGGAGGACTAGAGGACATTTCTACAACACAATCACTATTTGTATACATACGTTGTGTATATATGTATGTGCATTTGAATTTATGGGGTTGAACGCGTGTGCATGGGTTCACGTGTATCCATATGGGTATGGAGGCCAGATGTCAATCACTGATGTCATTTCTCAGAAGCTGTCTACCTTGTCTTTTTGAGACTGGTTTGCTCACAGTGACCCCAGGCCCAACCATTAAGCTAGGTTGGCTGGCCAGTGAGCTTCAGGGATCTGCCGGTCTTTGCTTTCCCAGTACTGGATTACAAGCTCACATACTACACTCAGCTTTTTCCTTGGGTTCTGAGGATTGAATTCAGGTCCTCCTGCTTAGACAGCAACCATTTTACTGACTGAGCCATCTTGGCAGCCTCTCCATATCCTTTTGAGACAGGATCTTATGTATCTCAAGCTGGCCTTGAACTCGCTATTGTATGTAACCTTGAACCTCTGAGATACTTGTATCACCTCCTTTATCCTGGGATTACAGGTGAATGCCACCACAGCCAGTTGAGGAGATGTTGGAGACCATGCTGGGGGCTTCTTGCATGCTAGACAACACTCTACCAACTGAGTTACATCCCTAGCCTAGAGATTCTGTTTTCTAATAAACTATTTTTAGAGGACTAACAGAATAAACGGGAAGAGGAGAGAGAGAGAGGGAGAGAGAGAGAGAGAGAGAGAGAGAGAGAGAGAGAGAGCCAATTTTGGTGATGGAACAGGTAGGTTCAACACAGTTGACTTCTTTTACTGACCTCTGATACTAGCCCAGTCAATATCACAAGTAAATATCACATGTCCAGGGAACAACCTCCCAAATACAGCCACCATTCAATGTGTGTTATCTAATACCTTTACACACAGTAACATTATGTGTAAATGTCACTCATTAATTGTCTAGCAGTGATAATTTAACATCTTAGTGATTTTGGAAACTTACATTGGCTACTGGAGTCATAGTAGAAAACTAGACAAACAACTTTCTGGCTCCAGGAAAGTAATAGTCCATGTAATAACAATTAGAAAATGTGAAGAATTCTAGAGAGGAAAACAGCAAACAAAACAACAGAAAGCCTGGGCTGTCTGCTGGGCAGTAGTGGTGCACACCTTTAATCCCAGCACTGGGAAGGCAGAGGCAGGCAGATCTCTATGAGTTTGAAGCCAGCCTGCTCTACAAAGTGAGTTTACGGACATCCAGGGCTACACAGAGAAACCCTGTCTTGAAAAACAAACAAAAACAAAAAACAAAACAACAACAAAAACCTGAGCTAATAAGTTGGCTGTGAGCAGTGCTACTTACTGTCTGTGGGATATCCTGCAGGGCTTCCCTGATTAGGTGGTACCTGAGCTGACACCTGAATACTGAGAGGAAGTCAGCCATAGAAAGTTCAAGGGGCAATAAATTTTAACAGAGAAATAGCAGGTGCAAGTCCTAAGCGCTCTTGGACTACTCCAGGAAGGGAAACCAAGCCAACCAAGTTGGAGAAAAGGGAGGATATGGGACGAGAGGCTAGGGCCAGCAAACACTAAGTGCGTCTGTTCCTGGGAGGCCCGAGAAAGAGTTTGTATTTTAAAAGTAAGTAGAAAGCAGTTAAAATGGCACAGGCTTGCAATTCCAGCACGTGGGAAGTGGGCAGGGAGTGGTCAGAGTTCAAGGCCCGCCTGGGTTGCATGAGAAAGCTGTCTCAAAACACCAGACAACAAGAGTGGCATGTGATTTATGCTCTTGAGAAGTTAGCTGCGACATCTGCTAGGCATCGAAAGTGTGTGTGAGGTAAGACCAACGTCAGCTCCCCCGAAGTCATCCATTTCAACTCCAAGGAGGGCAAGAAACTCCTCCTAAGCCTCTCAATGAACCAAACTTCTCCCTGGGAAAGCTGCCTTCTGATTGGGCGAATCCTGCGTGAGCTCTTCCGAGTCCCGGTGATTGGTTACCGACTCTCCTTTCTCTTCCAATCAGTCAGCTAGTCCGAAGAGTGCGAGCGGCTCAGCCCCTTGCAGACCAGTGTGCTCTGTGACTGGCTCTGCTGAATGAGTGACGGCAGACTCAGCCTATGGATACAACGACGGGGCGGTGCTCCCTGTGCCAGTGGGCTTTGCAGCCGGAGCCCAGGGCTGTCAGTACGCGTCCAGCCGGGTTCCTCCACCGAGTTCTCCGATGCCATGGCCTCCCCACCGCAGCTGCAGGCTCTTCTCCAGGCTGTCAACACGCTGCTGCGAAAGCGCCGCTACCACGCTGTGTTGGCCCTGCTTAAGGGCTTCCGGAACGGGGCTGTGTGAGTGGGGCCGCAGAGTCTGGTCAGGGTTGAGGGACGGGCCTAGCCGGGGTCGCAAGTTCGAGGCCCCTTGTCACCTCGCTGTGCACTCTCTAAGGAGCTCTGAGGTTAGATTCCGGTGTCCTGCTGGTGTAGTGGAAGTGGGGTTCTGGGTTCCTGTCACCTTGTCAGCCTTGAGCTGGGGCTTCCCATGTCCCTCTTCTAGGTCCTCTGTGCTTTACAATCTGGCACTCTTGACATAGTTGCCTAATATGCCAGCACCTGTGGCCCCTCATTTGGGTCCAGTTCACCTCATCTTGCCGTGTGCACTTTGCCCTATTTGGCTTCGGTGTCTCTGTGTGCACCAAAGAAACTGGACTCTGTCCTTTAGCAAACAGGTGGTCACCTACTACCTATTAAGTTGCTAACAGGTTCACATCCTGTTTCTCATCAATATGACTTCACCCCAGCCCTCGTTTTTCACTGGGGACTCATGGAAAGTGACAGTAAACGTAAGAAAAGGCAGCTAATATTTGCTGGACAGATTGATCTCACTCACTCCTACAGGTAGGAGAGGAGGTCTTAGGGCCATTTTGATCGATGGGTGCCTGGAGGGCAGCTCCACCTTCTTGAAACCTCAGGCTTTCACAGTTATTGAGGGGTTGCTGTGCCAGAACTAGCAATGACTCAGAGAAGAAACCAAAGTCCCTACGGTTGGCATCCAGGTAGCAGTGTGTGGCACGGTGTTGAGTGTGTGAACTGCCACGGTTTAAAACCCAATGTCAGCTACCTTGAGTGGATCATTTGGCCTTTCAGAGCCTCACTTTCTGGATCACGAGTTCCCCAGAGCACTTGCATGGTACTATTTGAGGACTGGTCAGTCGTGTGAAATGCAGAGCACAATACTGGTGTGTGTGCCCATGTGATGGTTGTTGTCACAGGTTCACTAATCCTGCACGGAGACCTCCCCACGAGCAGCCTCTGAACTTTCCTCCCTGTTTCTTTCTCTGTAGCACTTGTTATCAATAGACACTGAACAATCTTATTTCATAGTCCATGTCTCTCAGTAAAAATCAGCCTGGGGTGGTGTACATGGGAGACTGGAACAGGAGGATTATTGTGAGTTTAAGACCAACTTGTGCTAAATAGTGCATTCTGGGTCATCCTGGGCTATAGTGTGAGACCCTCTGTCAACAACAATGACAAAATGTGCTTTACAGGAACACACATTTTTACCGATAATTGTCCCTCTATGTATCCTGGTAATCCCTCTATTTATAGGCATTCAATTTTTTTTGAATGAATATTTGAAAACTAGGAATTACTCTTATCTCTCTACCTTCTAGTTGAATCGTTAGTGACTCGGGGAGGTATGCTGATTGTTCCTGCACATGTCAAGTCAGGTTACCGTCAGGATTGAGACTCAGAGTGGGCACTCCGTCAGGTAGAAACTGCTTCCTGCTGGATCTGGCCAGATCATATCAGCCATGTTTTGATCAGGACAGAATGAACCCTGAGGTTACATCAGTAGCCCCTTTGCCAGGTATGGCCTGGACACAGCAAGTGTTGCCCAATATGGGCTTTGTACACCTCCCCCTACCCCACCTCTCTCTGTGCCCTTCTCACTGGATCCTTCCAGCCAGGACAGACATTTTTAGGGTCAGGTGTTTGGGCTCTAATCCTAGTGCTTCCACTGTGACAAACTGGGTAGTCTCTTCTGGTCTTAGTTTCCTCCTCTGTAAAATTAAAACTGTAAACTCAGCCATTCCGGAATCTCCAAGGCATGGACATCATTACTTGTTAGTGGCATTGACACTCTGCCCATCTATAAGGATCATAAGTGTAAAGGGAAGTCTCACAAACTACGGTGACAGGGCTTGGCGTGGCAACACACACTTGTAATCACAGCACTTTAGAGGCAAGTGGATTGGGAGTCTGAGACTAGCCTGGACTGAATAGCAAGAGTCTACAACCAAAACAACAACAACAACAACAAACCCAAATACCACATCAATGCAAAGTAGTATTCAGGAATTCTTTTCAGAGGGAGTGATGGTGATATTCTGAAGGCCAAGTTGGAGTTCTCCAGGGCATTCTGGGCATGAAAATGTATTCAGCAAAGGCCTGGAGGTGGAGAAAAATTTGCTGTATTTGTGAAGAGAGGTCATTAGTTTAGAGAGGTCAATGTGGATGACTGAGATGTTTGACCTTAGTGAACATTTGACTCACCCCCAAATGTTCAAGAGTTTTACATGCGTGTGTGCACACACAGATGTATATGTGCACATGCATGCCAGCATATGTGGCGGTCCAAGACAACCCTGCCATCATGCCTTAGGCACTCTCCTTTCACTTTTTGTTTGAGAAAGGGTCTCTCTGAACTGGAACTTCACCACGTAGGCTAGGCTACTTGACCATCCAGCTCCAAGACTCTTCCTGCTCTGCCCTCTACCTCAGCATGCCTTGGAATATAGTGCCCAACACCATGCCTTGATTTTTACATGGGTTCCAGAGATCCAAATTCAGGTCATCACACTTACAAGGCAAGCTCTTTACTGACCAAGATATCTTTCTAGCCCCCATTTTAATAAAAAGGGGGTCTCACTGTCTATCTTAGGTTGTACTCAAACTCAAGGTCCTCCTGTCTAAGCTACCCAAATTCTGAGATTACAGGTGTGATGTAACAGGTCTTATCTGAACTTGAGGACTCTGAGAAAGGGCCTGGCAGATGTAGGGACTTGAAGACAGTCTGCTTGTGTCTAGGCTAAAGGAAGTCCCTGGCTAACTGGAGGAGGCTGAAGGTCTCTCTATGCAGAAGAAGGAGATAAGGTTCTAGAGATACTGGGGAAGAAGGGCCACAGGCACGAGGATGGGAACTGCCTGACACTGCCAGGCAGAGGAGATGATAAGGACAGCAGCAGACTGGCTTCTGCAACAAAAACACAGTTTAAGATGTTAGGGGGTTTTTTGTTGTTGTTTTTTTGAGACAGGGTTTCTCTGTGGCTTTGCAGGCTGACCTGGAACTAGCTCTTGTAGACCAGGCTGGTCTCGAACTCACAGAGATCCAACTACTTCTGCCTCCCGAGTGCTGGGATTAAAGGCGTGCGCCACCAACGCCAGGCAAGTTGTTAGTTATTTTAATCATCTTTAATTTCCTTTTTTAAAAGTTAGGTAACACATTCACAAAAGTTATAAAAGTTCACTGCTGAACCAGGCATGTAACTCCATGGAAGAGCACGTGCTTAGCACATGCTTAGCATGCAAGAGGACCTGAGGTCCATCCCGGACTCTAAAATAGTTACATAATGTCCTCAGTCACCAGTCCCTCTCCATGGAGATAGTCCTGGGATGACTCTCTTGTTGTCTTCCAGAGAGAGGGCTGTGTGCACATACAGACAAAGGCATCTCATCCCCCCCACACCTTTAATGTTTTTCTTTTGGAATAATGTTAGACCTTACACTTTTTGCTTCTCTGCTCCCACTTTCCCACCTTGTTCTTTTATATCCCACAGACTTAGCTCCAGAGCCAGCAGGCATTTCCCAGTGAGGACTTTGTAATCCTTTCTGATTCCAGCTCTCCCTGTATCCTCTGTGAACCCTCCCAACCATGGCACTTTCTGTGGTCATGTCCTCTGACTCCAATCCTAATGTTCTTATTCTGAATATTGAATGACTCTTCATCTATTCTGACCTCCATTTTCTCTTTAAAAATTCTTTTAAATTAAGCCAGGCATGGTGGCGTATGACTTTAATCCAAGCACTCCAGGGGCAGAGGGATCTCTGTGAGTTTGAAGCCAACCTGGTCTATAGAGCAAGTTCCAGTACAGCTAGAGATACACAGAGAAACCCTGTCTTGACCCTGTAACAATAAGTCTTACTGCCAGCCGCCTGAGTTCCGCCGGCATGTTAGGGCCCCAATAACACACAGAGACCTATATTAATTACAATGCTGCTGGCCAATAACTAGGATTTCTATCTGCTAGCTCAGTCTTAATTATCATTATTACTATGATATTTTTATCTATATTAATCTATATATTTATAAGACTTATAGATGATGCCACTGGCCTTGGGTCCTGTCTTCCTAGTGGTCACATGGGAGCTCCTGAGCAGAGAGCAGGAGGAAGAGGGCGACTTCCTGCTTGTTCCTGCTTATTTTCTGAGTCTGCCTGCTATGTCACTTCCTGCCTGGATCACAAGACTTTACTACATTTCCCAGAATCCTCCTCAACTCCTAGTCCCACCTATCTTGCTTTCCTATTGGCCAACAGTACTTTATTTATTAATCAATAAGACAAACATATACACAGAAGGATGTCCCTCATCATGACCCCCTCTCCCCCAATTTTTTTAATGAGTGGAGGAGCAGTGGATCTGGGGGAGAGGCAGTGAGAGGGGTAAAGAGGGGGAGGCTTCACTCAGGATGTACTGTAGGAAAGAAGAGTAAAAAGTTGTTTTAATTAATTACTTTTAAGACATATTTATTTATTTATTTATTTATTTATTGATGTTTTTCTGAGACAGGATTTCTCTGTGTAGCTTTGGCTGTTCTGGAACTTGCTCTGAAGACAGGCTATCCTTGAACAAGGAGATCCATTTGCCTCTGCCTCCTGAGTGCTGGGATTAAATGTGTGTACACCTGGCAAGATACATTTATTTTATGTGTGTGAATGCTTTGCCTACATGTATGTTTAAGTGCTATGTACATGCTTAGTACCCATGGAAGCCAGAGAGGATATGATGCTCCTAAACACTGACCCATCTCTCCAGTCCCAAATTAGTTTTCTGTTTTGTTTTGTTTTTGAGACAGAGTCTCTCTATGTAGCCCTGGCTGACCTGGAACTCCTTGTGTAGACCAGGCTGGCCTTGAACTCACACAGATCTGCCTGCCTATGCTTCCAAGTGCTGGGACTAAAGGTGTGAGCCACCACACTCAGCTCAGTGCCCTCTTTTACTCTCTTTGGGCCTCAATTTCTCTGTTGTAAAATGAAAACAGAGAGAGGAGACCATCCTCTGTCTCTCTCTGTCTCTGTCTCTCTCTCATGTACATGTTCGTGCAGATATGTGCATGGGTGAGCGTATGGAGGCCAGAGGGTGACATTAATTGTCTTCCTCCATCACTTTTTGTTTGTTTGTTTGCTTGCTTGTTTGTTTGTTTTGAGGACAGGATTTCTCTGTGTAGCCTAGCTGTCCTGGAACTAGCTCTTGTAGACCAGGCTGACCTCAGACTCACAGAGATCGGCCTGCCTCTGCCTCCCGAGTGCTGGGAGATTAAAGGTGTGTGCCACCATTCACCCAGCCTCTGTCATTTTTTGTATTGGTTTTTGTGACAGTGTCTCTCACTGAGCCTAGAACTCATCCATTGGCTAGGCTGGCTGACTGGTGAACTGCAAGGCTCTGCCTGCCCATCTCTGTCCCAACGGTCTGGGGTTGTTAATGTGCCCCACTGTACTGGCTCTTCCGTGGGTCCTCATGCTTACTGTGCAACTTTACTTTCTGAGCTGTCTACCCAGTGCCTGATTCTGGCCATTTGTTGTTTCATATAAGTACCAGACTAATGGTGTGTGCCATGGGAGCCCCTCTTTTTTGAAACCTGCAGTGAATATTCCTATATATTCAAGTGACAGTCAAAATTGGCTCATAAACATTGTCTCAAGGCCTTCAAGAGATTTTAGGCTTCAAAAGCCTTGACACAGCTGCAGAAATGAAGGTGAAGGTATCTTAGTTAGGGTTACTATTGCTATGATGAAATAACATGACCAAAAGCAACTTGGAAAGGAAAGGGTTTATTTGACTTACAAATTCTGTGTCATAGTTTGTTGAGGGAAGCCAAGGCAATAACTCAAACCAGGCAGGAACCTGGAGGCAGGAGCTGATTCAGAAGCCATGGAGGAGGGCTGCTTACTGGCTTGTTCATCGTGGCTCACTCAGTCTGCTTTCTTATAGAATCAATGACCATCAGCCCAGAGGTGGTATGACACACAATGACCTTGGCCCTCCCCTATAAATCACTAATGAAGAAAATGCCCTATAGGCCTCCCTGTAGCCTGAACTTATAGAGACATTTTCTAAGTTGAGGCTCCCTCCTCTCAGATGGCTCTAGCCTGTGACATAAAACTAACCAGCATAAGATGTCTGATAAAGAAAAATAAGAAAGGCAGGTCGGTGGTGGCACACACCTTTAATCCCAGCATTTGGGAGGCAGAGACAGAACACTTGTTGCTCTTGAAGAGGACTTGAGTTTGGTTCCCAAGACTCACAGCAGTTAGGTCACAGCCACCTGTAACTCCAGCTCTAGGGGATTTGCCACCTCTTCTAGATTCCAAAGGTACCATGTATGCATATGCATGCATGTGTGCAGGCACACACACACACATGAAATAATAATGATATATTAAAGTAGGTAAGGTAGCAGGCACCTACAATCTCAGCATTCAAGAGGTGGTGGGAGGAAGATCAGGAGTTCAAGGCCTCAGTCACTCAGTCAGCTATAGAGACTTGCCTACACAAGATCCTTACCAAAAAAAAAAAAAAAAAAAAAAAAAAAAAAAAAGCCAGGGTTGGTGGTGAAGCTCAGCAGGTAACAGCATTTACCACCAAGCCTGAAGAAGACCAGAGAGACTGTGATCCCCAAGTTCAAGTGGGGGAAGGAGAAAACTGATTGCTACCAGCTGTTCTCTAACACACATACATGCTGTGGCATGCATGCTGTCCTAGTCAACGTTACTAATGCTGTGATGAAACGCTATTATCAAAAGCAACTTAGAGAGGGAAGGGTTTATGTAGCCTGCGTATCTCAAGTCACAGTCCATGGAGGGAAACCAAGGCAGAACTCAGACTGGGCAGGTACCTGGAGGCAGGAGCCTGGAGGCAGGAGCTGATCTCAGTCTTTCTTATGGATTCCAAGACCACTAGCCCACAGGTAACACCACCCACCCACAATGGGCTAGGTTCCTCCCAAAACAATCACTAATTAAGAAAATTCACAGGGCCTTGGTGGCACATGCCTTTAATCCCATCACTCGGGAGGCAGAGGTAGGCGGATCTCTGTGAGTTCGAAGCCAGCCTGGTCTACAGAGAGAGTGCCAGGATAGGCTCCAAAGCTACACAGAGAAACCCTGTCTAAATAAATAAATAAATAAATAGAATTCCCCACAGGCTTGCCTACCTGCAGCCTGATCTGTTTTCTATTTGTTTTGATTTTTCAAGACGGCTTCTCTGTGTAGCCCTGGCTGTCCTGGAGCTCCTTCTGTAGACCAGGCTGGCCTCAAACTCACAGAAATCCACCTGTGTCTTCCTCCTGATCGCTGGGATTAAAGGCATTCACTACTGCCTTCAGAACCAACTTGAAGTCTGGTTTCTTTTTTTGTTTGGTTGTTTGTTTTTGCTGTTTTTCGAGACAGGGTTTCCCATGTAGCTTTGGAGCCAGTCCTGGAACTAGCTCTTGTAGACCAGGCTGGTCTTGAACTCACAGAGATCCACCTGCTTCTACCTTCCCAGTGCTGGGATTAAAGGCGTGCGCCACCAACGCCTGACTTGACACCTGCTCTTATGGAGGCATTTTCTCAATTAAAGTTCCATCCTCTCAGCTGACTATCACTTGTGTCAGGCTGACATAAAACTAGCTAGCCCACATGCCCCCACACATACACAAATAAATTACTTCAATAACTTTTTAAATCCACCAAAACAATAGCAACAATAAAGTTAAATAAAATGAAAATTCTTGGTGTGGTGACACACTCCTCCAGCACTCAGGGGTATATAGGCAGGCAGAGCTCTGTGAGTTTGTTGTTGTTGTTGATTCATTTTTAGAGACAGGGCCCCACTAAGTAGCCCTGGCTGTCCTGGAACTCACTTGTAGACCAGACAGGCCTTGGACTCAGAGAGATCCACCTGCCTCTGCCTCCCGAGTGTTAGGACATGCTTAAGGCCAGCCTGGTGTACATAGTGAGTTCCAGCCAGAGCTAGTACTACACAGTAAGATTCTTTGTCTATGAATGAATGTAATGAAAACTGCAGTGCAAGCCTGTAGCACTGACCACGCCTTTTGGGCGTGGTCACAGGTGGGGATGGATGCGATCAGTGATTAGGATTAGGTTTGGGGCTTGGAGCTCTCTTGCCCATTTCAGTGATGGAGAGCAGCGGGGTGGCAGGACCTGCATTCCTAGAGCTGGAGGGCCTCTTGTTTTCTGTCTACGTTCTTTTCCCCTAATAAACTCCACTATACAGAGTCTAGTGAATCCTGATTTCCATGCCCATCAGAAAAATTAAAAGAAAACAAAACAGTACTAGTAATAATAAATCAAATTTAAAATTAATCAAAGATGAGCCTAACTATAATAGACAGGTCAGGAAGGAGTGGAGAGAGCATTTCTGCAAGGTAGGAATAGTGGACACCTTTTGCATACTTCATTTTTGTCCACAAGAACCATTTACCCAGCCCTCTGGGGTTTTGCATTCCTTTTTGGGGAAACTGAAGCTCAGAGAGGGTCAAGCTAAGGCAAAGGTCACTCTACCAGGGGCCTCAGGAACTTGAGCCCAGATGTAACTGGAAAGCCAACATTATTTTTCTCCCATCATGGTATCAGAACTGGGGAAGGGAGAAAGGACCAGGGGCCAAAGGGGGGCAGGGTCCTGGAAACTGCTACAGTGATGGATTAGTAACTGTTTGTCTCTGTTTCTACAGCTATGGAGTCAAAATCCGGGCACCTCATGCATTGGTCATGACCTTTCTCTTCAGGAGTGGCAGGTACCTACCCTCTCTGCATACCAATTGGGAGACAATGTGGTCAGCCCTCAGGCCAGGATGGGTGTAGTAGTTTCCAAGCTAGGACTGGCTTCCCGATTCCCTGTGCTTCCTAAAGTCCAGCTCTGACCATATGGAAATGCCTGTGGCTCCTCACTATGCTCCACAAAGACCTAACCCTCTGCGGTGTGACACAGCTAACCCCTACAGTGTCCAGTGTGGGCTTCCGTGGCACACAGGCCCTGTTCCATGCAGGCTGTGATACTTCACTCCCACTCATTGGCCTGTGCACACCCGCTTCCAGGGAGCTATCCTCTTCTAGCCAGCTTCTGTTTTCCTCCCAGAAACCTGTCCAGTCCTCTGGGTCATAGTCTCTGGAAATCAGTCTCTGATCTCTCCTCTCCTGCTCTGTGTCCTGACCTGAGTCCCTTCCTTCAAGGCCTTAAACACCTTGCAGTCTGATGTTTATAGACACACCTGTAGTTTATGAGAGTTGTATACAGAGATTGGAGAGATGACTTCATTGGTTAAGAGCACTTGCTGCTTTTTCAGAGGACCCGAGTTCAGTTCCCAGCACTCACATGGTAGCTCCCAATCATTTGTAACTCCAGTCCCAAGAACTCCAACACTCTCTTCTGACCTTTGCAGACACTAGGCACATAGGTGATGCACAAACATTCAGGCAAAGCACTTATATGCATAAAATATAAATAAGTAAATCGAAGAAGAAGAAGAAGAAGAAGAAGAAGAAGAAGAAGAAGAAGAAGAAGAAGAAGAAGAAGAATACAAAGAGGGTAGGCCAAGTCCAAATTGCAAGATTTCTGTTTTGTCCATCTTCTGAGATTGAGTTTTTAAAAAAGATTTCTGTTTTGGCAGTTTTATTTTGTTTATATATGTTGGGGATTTTTGCCCTCCAAATTGTATTTTTTTTCCTTTCCCTTCTCTCTCCTTCTCTTCTCCCCTTTCTTTCTCTTTCCAGAGTGAGAAACATTGGAAGGCAAGCACACTGGCCCTGAGCCTGGAACACAGTAGGCAAGCACACTGGCACTGAGCTATATGCCCAGCCCTTCCAAATATTTTTGTTTTGTTTTATTTTTGAGACAGGGTCCAAAAGCATTCTTTAAAACCCAAACTTACTCATTCAGTCTCCAAGTGTTCAGTGAACATCTATTATATAATACACACTGTTGTGGCTGCTAATGATACAGCAGTGGACAAGACAGACAAGGATCCCTGCCCTCCTAGGGTTTATCTTCTAGCAGGAGGCAGCAAAAAATCAACATTAAAAATAGCAGGAGGGGCTGGAGAGATGGCTCAGAGGTTAACAGCACTGACTGTTCTTCCAGAGGTCCTGAGTTCAATTCCCAGCAACCATATGGTGGCTCACAACCATCTGTAATGAAATCTGGTGCCCTCTTCTGGCCTGCAGGCATATATGCAGACAGAATGCTGTATACATGATAAATGAATAAATAAATCTTAAAAAAAAAAAAAGTTAACTGTCTTCGAAGTCCATCAGCCAGTAACAGAATTGAGAGGTATACTCTGCTCTCTCCCTGAGTTATCTTTGTTGTCCCCTAGTGGAACTATAGAGATGGCTCAACTATTGAGAGTGCTTGTTGCTCTTACAGAGGACTAGAGTTCAGTTCCCAGCACACAGTTCACAACTGCCTATAACTCCAGTTCCAGGGAATCCAATGCCCTCTTTTGGCCTCTGTGGGTACCCACAGACATAGACTCTCTCTCTCTCTCTTTCTCTTTCTCTCTCTCTCTCTCTCTCTCTCTCTCTCTCTCTCTCTCTCTCTCTCTCTCCCTTTAAGGAAAAGGTGAATTGAATCAGCTCCTTTTCATCTCAAAAGAAAGACCAGCCCTGGGTGCTGACCTCCTCACTGCCCTCCACACACAGTCCCTGCTCAGAGCCCGCAGTGACCTCTCTCCATTGCTTGGCTCCATTTCTGTGCCTGTCCTTGGGGCCTTTTGGATGATGAGTCTTCTGCTTGGAATCCTTCAGATTCCAGGACCACCTCTTAATCAAAGTCAATGTCTGATTCTTGCCTTGGCAATTATTCCCTCGCCCATAAGCCCCACAAATGTAGAAAGCAGACCTGCCATTTCTCAAGATTTTATCTGCAACTCCAGCTCATAGCAGGCACACATTCATCTGTTCACTGTTCACTCACCTCTCCCATTTGTTGAGCACCTACTGTGTGTCAGGCCCCATTCTGTGCCCTTAGGGTGAACAAGCAAAATCTAGACCCTGCTCTGCAGGAACTTATACTGAGGACAAGGGAACTTGATAAATCAGCTCACAAATGTTAAATGGCCATGAGAGCCATGATGGAAAAGACAAATGAGGAAGGGGATGGGCACTTATTAATGCAAGGTGTCAGGGAGTGATCCCTGAGGTGGTGACACTGAGTGAAGGCCCCAGTCTGGTGAGAGCGCAGTGCCCCTGAGGACATGGGGCACCCTCCACAGAGGTTTTGAATTGGATGGGCTACAGCTCCTTGCCTAATTCAGAGCTATATGTACTCTGGGCCTGCACTCATGGGGCTTTCTGTTTGTGCAGTCTCCAAGAGAAGCTACAGGCCATCCTGAAAGCCACGTACACCCACTCTCGGAACCTGGCTTGCTTTGTGTTCATCTATAAGAGTCTCTGTGCCCTACAGTCCCATGTGCAAGGGGAGACCCACCAGATGCACTCTTTCCTGGCAGCCTTCATCGGGGGCCTCCTGGTGTTTAGGAAGAACAATAACATCAATAGCCAGGTAAAGACTTTCCTGAGATGGGACAGTGGGATGCCCTTTAGTTGAGGGACAGGGGAGTAAAGATGAACTGTTGGCTGCTGTCTGTGTCTGAGGTCCAAGAATCACCAGTCCCTGTGTGACCTTGGGAAAGTCACTTCTCCCTCCGTTTTCCCACTTGTAAACCAAGCCACAGTTGGAATCCCAGGACTCCCCACATCAGTGTGTCTGCTGCTCTTTGGGGCAAGGATTTTGGTGGTGGTGGTGGTGGTAGTTGAGACTGTTTCATCTTGTTTGGGCAGGCCTTGAACTTGCTATGTAGCTAGCGGAGGCTTGCCTTGAACTCTTGATATTCTTGCCTCATCCCAAGTGCTGAGATTACATATGCATCAATAATTTGGTGGTACAACCATTTTTCAATTATTTATGTATGTGGGTGTGCCTCTGCATGCATGTGTACCTGTGTGTGGGTGTCCGTGGAGGGCTGAAGAGGGTGTTATATCTTCTGGAGCTAGAGTTACAGGAACTTATGTTCCACCCTATGTGTGTGCTGGGAATTGAACTCTGGTCCTGTGCAAGAGAGCAACAAGTACTTTTAACTGCTGAGTCATCTCTCCAGTTTAGGATTTTTTTTTTAATGCACTTTGACCTGGGTGTGGTGGTACATTGAGAGGCTAAGGCACATATTTGAAGCCAGCCTGGGCTGCATCTCAAAACAGACAAGAAGAACTCAATGAAATGGAAATTGGGAAATTGAAAGAGAGAAGCCGTTCTTTTTGTTGTTGTTGTTGTTTTGTTTTGTTTTAAAGATGAATAGAATCTATAAGCCTCTACCCCAGCATCACCTCCAAAGACTTTTACCCATACTGGAAATACAAGGGTTATGTTTAATGTCTTGTGTATATTAAAAGGCCTTGAGGAACCCCAGTACTCAGGAGGCAGAGGCAGAGGCAGGAGGATATCTGTGAATTCAAGGCCAGCCTGGTCTACATAGTGAGTTCCAGGACAGCCACGGCTACATAGAGAGAACCTGTCTCAATAAATAATAAATAATAAATAAGCAAACACAAAAATAAAGATAAAAAGCACAAGCACTGAGGGCCTGTGAGGTGGCACAGCAGGTAAAGTTGCCTACCATTAAGTGTGATGACTTAGTGTGGTTCCGGGGACCCACATGGTGGAAAGAGAGAAACAAGTCTCAAAGGTTTTCCTCTGACTGCTTTACACATGCTATCACATATTTTCCCTGCACCTCTAAAATAAAATAATAGTAAATGAAATGTAGATTTTAAAAGCTATGGAATATTGGCTGGGTGGTGGTGGTGCATGCCTTTAGTCCTAGCACTCGGGAGGCAGAGGCAGGCAGATCTTTGGGTGTTCATGTCAAGCCTGGTCTGGTCTACAAGAGCTAGTTCCAGGACAGCCTCCAAAGCCACGGAGAAACCCTGTCTCAAAAAACCAAAAAAAAAAAAAAAAAAAAAAATAAAAAGCTATGGAATATTATGGCTAATTCTGTTTTTGCAAACTTGGCTGACAAAAAATAGACCACTTCTTTGGGGAAAAAAAAATGCCAGAGTCACATGGGAAGGACAGCCTGACTTTTTCTTTTAAAACATTTTTTTTTCTTTTATGAGCCTGAGTATTTGCCTGCATGTATGTGTGTGCAGCATATGTATGCCTGGTACCTGGAGAAGCCAGAAGAAGGTGTTGGATCCCCTGAAACATGAGTTATAGAAAGTAGTGAGCTGCTGTGTGGGTGCTGGGAACCAAGCCTGGTCCTCTGCAAGAGCAGCAAATGCTCTTAACCTCTGAACCATCTTTCCAGTCCCTTTTATTTCTTGAGACAGGGTCTCATGTTGCCCAGGTTGACTCAAACTCAATCTATAGCTGAGTCTGAACTTGAATTCCTACCTATACTTCCCCGGGGTTTGGATTATAGGCACATGCCACCAACAACCAGCTTTTTTTTTTTTTTTTTCTGTGTCTTGCTCTGTAGCCCAAGTTGGCCTTGAGCCTTGGCAATTCCCCCCGAGCCTCAGGAGCACTGGGGTTATAGTCATGTATGGCCACCCTGGCTTAATTTTTCCCTTTTACTCCTAAGTAGTATAGAAGTACCATCAGTTTTTTTTCCCATCCTCTGATGGACATTTGGGCAGTTTCTAGCTTTAGGGTGTTACAAATAGAGCTGTGAAGAACACTCTTGTATAGATACTTCTGTGAACATAAGTTTTCATTTTTCTGGGATAAAAGCCCAAGAGTGTAATTGTGGGTTGTATGGTACATGCATGCTTGATTTTAAAACAACCTGCCAAAAAAGAAGAAAGAAAGAAACTGACAAACCTCTGCCAAGCTGTTTTCCAGTGACTATGGTTTTTTTTTTTTTTTCATTCTCACCACAAATATAGGAGTGTCTAGTTTCTCCATATCCTATTAACATTTGGTTTGCTTCACAATTTATTTTATCTATGTTTTAAAGGTTTTGGGATGTATGGGTGGGTGGGTGTGTGATGTTTATAAGTGCAGGTGTGCACCTGCCATGGTGTATGAATGTGATTCAGAGGTTAGCTCTTGGAAATTGGTTCTCTCCTTCCACTCTGTGGGCTCTGTGGATCAAATTCAGGTTGTTAGACTTTTGCTGCAAGTGCCCTCAGCTCCTAAACCATCTCACCAGCCCTGTCCTATCCATTGTGACTTGACTTCACCTTTCCCTGATGAACAATGATGTTGAAATTTTCCTCATTATCACTTATTTGCTACCCATCGAGTGAAACATTCATATCTTTTGCTCATTTTCCAGCTGGAATGTTTCATGTTTTACTTGTGAGCCCTGAGGACACTTTTCAGAACATTTACATGCTGATGCTTTGCACATATGTATTGTGAATGGCTCTCCTTGTAGCCTTCCTTTCTCTGAGATAAGGCCTTGCCTTGTAGCCCCAACTGGCCTGGAATTTATTCTGTATACCCAGCTGGCTTCACATAGAAAAAATGAGTTTCAAGGAAATCCAAAATATTATTTTTCCTCTTATGGATCATTTTTTAAAATTTTGAACTGTGTACAATTTTAAAAACTTCTAATAAAGGAGCCAAGCATAGTGGTGTACACCTTTAATCCCAGCACTCAGAGACAAAGACACTGAGTTTTGGGCCAGCTTGATCTACTTAGTGAGTTCCAGGACAGTCAGGACTACATAGTGATATCCTGTCTTGAAACAAAACAAAACAAAACAAAACCACAGCTTCTAAAAAGGGAACAGAGAGGTCGTTCTGTTGGCAAAGTACTTATGAAGCAAACTGAAGACCTGACATCCATCCCCAAAACACACATAGAAAGCCAGCCACTATGGTACTTGAAATCACAGCACTGGGGAGGCAGATGCAGGAGGGGACCTGGGCTCTCTGGAACCAACCACTCTATCCAGATTGGTGAGTGCCAGGCTATGAGAGGCCTTGTCTCAAAAATAAAAAAATGTATAAAACGCCGGGGCGTTGGTGGCGCACACCTTTAATCCCAGCACTCGGGAGGCAGAGGCAGACAGATCTCTGTGAGTTTGAGGCCAGCTTGGTCTCCAGAGCGAGTGCCAGGATAGGCTCCAAAGCTACACACAGAAACCCTGTCTAAAAAAAAAAAAAAAAAAAAAAAAAAAAAAAAAAAAAAGTAAAAAACAAGATGAATGGTTTCTGAGGAAAAACAGTTAAGTAAGTACACACACACACACACACACACACACACACACACAAAGTAAATACATAAATAATAATTATTACCTATTTCTTTTAAAGCCAAGCACAGAAGCATCTGTCTGTAATCCCAGTATTTGGGAGGTAGAGAGAGGTAGATCCTTGGAACTCTGTAGTCAGCTAGCATAGCCAAATTGGTGCACTCCGTGTTGAATGAGAAACTGTGGTCTCAACAAATTGGGTAAGGGGCAGAATGGACCTATAGCTCAAAGATTAAGAGTGCTTTTAAATCTTTAAAAAGAGAAAACAGTTGTAAATTGAAAGGTTTCTTTGGGGGAGGGGCTGTTAAAACTGGGTCTCTCTACATAGCCTCAGCTGGAACTTGCTCTGTAGACCAGGCTGGCCTTAGACTCACAGAGATCCTCCTGACTCTGCTGCCCAAGTGCTGGAATTAAAGGTGTGCACCACAGTCACCTGGCCCTCAATCCTCTTAAGGCATGTGCCACCACTCCTGACCAATTACACCTGGCTGGAGCTGGGCATGGTAGCTCACACCTTTAATCCCTGCCCTCAGAAGACAGGCAGGTGGATCTCTCTGAGTTCCAGGCTAGCATGGTCTACATAGCAAGTTCTAGGAAAGCTACATAATAGGGAGACCCTGTCTCCATACAACAAAAACAAAACAAATAATTAGGCCAGAGAAGGAACTGAGAGAGACACCTAATTGCAGTCTCTAGTCTCTATACCCACATGTACACAAGCACCCAACCCACACAAGGATATTCGCCTACACAGACATACGCACCACACACACATAAATAGAAATATTAAAATGTCTGCTGCATACCACCTCAATCATCTTGCACGTTAACTTTGAAAATCACAGAGCCGCTGCACAGCAATGCCCAGTGCCTAGGGTTGGGTGGGCAGGTGAAGGTTCCCAGTGGCCATGCTGACTAGTAACCCTCAGCATTCCCTCCCTGCAGATCAACATGTACCTGACATCACGCGTCCTGTTTGCCTTGTGCCGCCTGGGTGTGGAGAAGGGCTACATCCCTAAGCTCAGCTGGGACCCGTTCCCCTTGCACACAGCAGTGATTTGGGGGCTTGTGCTATGGCTCTTTGAGTATCACCGGCCCACTCTGCAGCCCTCACTGCAGTCCTCCATGACCTACCTCTACGAGGACAGCAACGTGTGGCATGACATCTCAGACTTCCTCATCTTCAACAAGAGCCGCCCCTCCAAGTAACACAGCCCAAGGTGCTTAAGGAACTCCTCTGCCCAGACAGCTTCCAGGCAGTGTGAGCTGCTGCTCAGAGTGTGGTTCTATCAACACACCCTCACGGAGGATCCTGCCTTCTCAAAGCCACGGGCCTCACACTCCAACTTGTTTTATCCCAGTGTTCCATGAGAATTATCATTGATTATTTGTAGTATGTGATGAAGGTTTTATTAAGGCTGGGGATGGGTTTTGAAAAGGTCTTCTGTAGTCCTCTGGGGTATAAGCAATAGGCTCAAGTTCTTTGCTGAAAGAATCATTGAGCTTGTACTTTCAGACAGTGGAGACTTCTCAGTATGTTTTACTTTCAAAGAAGATGGTGTTAATTTCCTTCTGGTTCTTTTTTGTGGAGTAATGTTAAGCAAGTCAGGTTCATTTGAGGACATGCAACAAGGAATAGATTGCATTGGTCCAAGCTGTGGGAAGGTCATAAGAAGAGAAATCCCGTTGGGCGTTGGTGGCGCATGCCTTTAATCCCATCACTCGGCAGGCAGAGGCAGGTGGATCTCTGTGAGTTTGAGGCTGACCTGGTCTGCAGAGCGAGTGCAGGATAGGCTCCAAAGCTACAAAGAGAAACCCTGTCTCCAAAAACCAAAAAAAAAAAAAAAAAAAAGAAGAGAAATCCCTGGAACATCATTTTGGTTTGAATGTTCAGTAGTTTGGTCAGTCCAAGCCACCACCTTCTTCCTTTCTACCAAATGCTCAATATCTTTGAAGTCAGAAGTCAGAATCAAAAGCAGCGTTAGACAGGTTAGTTTCTTCTGACATGAAATACGTTTTTCTTAGGGCTGGAAGTAAAACATTCAATACTGCCTCAATCTGACTGTGCTGCTGCTCTTGGAGACAGGCTAGAGCCTTCATGTGTGCCATTTGTGTTTTCAGGTCTTTGGTCTGGAGGTATATTGGTGACAATGAAGATCTTTAATGAGTACCTCTGGGATGTCACCATTTTGACCTAAGAAAGCCAATTGGTATTCTCGTCAAATTGTTTCAACACCTCTTCCTTCTTTTTCTCTAGGAAACAGCGAACAGTTTTCAACCTTTGAAGTCTGTGATCTCGATTGCAAGTGGCCTTTTCTTTTCTTTTTCTTTTGGGGGGAGAGTTTCTCTGTGGCTTTGGAGGCTGTCCTGGAACTAGCTCTTGTAGACCAAGCTGATCTCGAACTCACGGAGATCCAGCAGCTGCTGCCTCCCGAGTGCTGGGATTAAAGGTGTGTGCCACCACCACTGGGCGCAAGTGGCCTTTTCTACTTTGTCTTCTGAATGCTTCATCTCTATTTGGTGATGGCACTGTTGTTGATAGAATGACTTGAGTTCATTTACTTTAAGCAACATTTCTAACTTTAGATATTCTTGCCTGATTTCTTCTCGACTCTGGAACAAGCATTTCCGAATTTCTTGAAGTCTTTTAATTTCTTTGTCTTGAGTGTTTGATGTACTGATTTTACACTGTTGTTTTTGTCAGTCAAGGCTTTCTGTTCTTCATAGGCTTTTAGTTTTTCTTTCAGCATTAAAATCTCTGTTTTCTGCACATTACAGATCTTTACATATTAAGGACATCACTCTTTAAAGGTTTAATGACTTTTGCATGATTAGCATACTTAAGAGTGTTATATGTGTCATCAGAGAACAAAGAGGAAGGTCTAACAGCAGCTGTCATTACAGTTTGACAGTTTCCTCCAAGAGAATCCTTCAATAAGCGAGCAAGCTTAATATTTCTGTAAAGGAATATGCTGATTCCTTCTTTTTGTATCTGCTAAGGCATTGATGACATTCCCAAGGGCTAAACAGGATTTATTAATATTTGTGCCTTCTACAAATCATGTCCCTTTAGCACCAGAAGTTCTGGCTTGCTCAGATCCTGCCAGGTCAATGAGTGACATTTTGGCTACACAGATATTTTGATTGATTCTTATTTGTGTTGTCACAAATAAATCTGGAAAACAGCATGGGAATGAGAAGATGTAGCATTCATGTCAGTGGGATGCTGTGTCCTGTTTTTGTTTCCATTGCCTAGTAGCTGTAATATTTCCTCTGAGGATTTGGGCTGGTGTAAAGTGAGACCTTGAACAACCACTCCTTTTGGGGGCATCTTCCTGGACAGTAAGTGGCCCCAAATTTGTCAAGAGGTCATGATTCTGTTCATTATACACCTCCAAATAAGAAACAGCAGTACTACACACTTTCTCTTCTTTAGGCTCATGCATGGCTTTGAAAAGGTCTAACATTGTTAGGTGCGTTACTCCAGGATCAGCAGCTGATCCTAGCATCATGTGTGTCTTCCCAGCTCCAGTGGTACCATCTGCAAGTACTGTGCAATTGTCTCCATTCAGAAAACTATGAAGAATTGGTTTAGTAGTATGTTCAAAATCTTCCATTTGAGTTGATGTTTCATCAAAAACAGCATCAAATACAAACTTAAGATCTTTATTTTGCCTTTTAGTAATATCAAAATTTGTAGTTTTCTTTTCTTGAAAAAACTGACTTCTTGTTTTGGATCAAAAGCGAGTATATGTTTATCTACAACATGAACCACTTTGTGGGACACAACTGCCTTTTCTTTTGTGTTCTCAGGATGCATACGAACAACTACTTGCTTATAGTGACATAAATCCTCCTCAGGGACAGACACTGTAGTTATCTTGATTCCTGCTTACATGAATGCCTGGGTAATTCTCTAGAAGCGTCTGCGACAACTTGGCAGACTAGGCTTCCAGGTGCTTCAAGCTCAGCCACAAATTCAAACTCCTAAATGGATGTTCTTGAGGTGCTATGCCATAGGAGGAAATGTGTCACAGTGAACTAGAGAGTTGTGTGGTTGTGTGGCAGGCAGGTTTTTTTTTTTTTTTTTTTTTTTTTTTTTTTTTTTGAGAGGGGTTTTTTTTTTTTTTTTTTTTTTTTTTTTTTTTTTTTTTTTTTTTTTTTTTTTTTTTTTTTTTTTTTTTTTTTTTTGGTTTTTTGAGACAGGGTTTCTCTTTGTAGCTCTGGAGCCTATCCTGGCACTTGCTCTGGAGACCAGGCTGGCCTTGAACTCACAGAGATCCGCCTGCCTCTGTCTCCCGAGTGCTGGGATTAAAGGTGTGCGCCACCAACTCCCGGCTGCAGGCAGAATTTTTAAAACAAAACAACTCTCGGAAAAGCCTGGTCCAGAGGCTGCCAGTCTGAGACCCTTGGTTTAGTGCAATACATTACTTTAATGTGCCCTTCCTCCCCTGTGTTTTTATGTGTTTGAAATGACTGGTAGAAATCTACATGAGTCACTGGAAATCTTATTAGTGTGTAGATTATGGCCAGGCATGGAGATACACACCCATATTCACAGCACCTGGGAGGTGGAGGCAAGAGGATGGGAGTTCAAGGTTATACTCCGCTACATAGCAAGTTGGGAACCAGCCTGGCCCATGTGAGACCCTGTCTCAAAAATAAACAACAAATGGACACAATATAAATTCTGACTTAGGGGTGTGGAATAGTTTTGGAACTATTATAGCCTACAGGTTCCTATGCTGTAAGTGCTGTGCTATGAGCCCAGCCTGAGTACTGAGCGAGTGGTGAACAGCAGGGCCAAGCATCATTATCCTAGGTATCTCTGGGGTGGTGGAGGTGGCTTTTGTCTGACTTCCCAGTGCTCTCGGCTGCAGCTCACTGTAAGCTCAAAGCAGACCATTTGGAAGAGCTTTTTACTGTGCTTGATGAGCAAACTCGAGACTGTGGGGAGGCCGACCATTGCCAGGCAGGTTTATTATAGCAGATGGTGGGGAGCCCTGCCATTCTCTCTGCGTGAACACCCGACTTCTCCAGTTGCCACTCCTGTGTTTCCCTGTCTGAGGACTCCCACCACTGGGGCCTGCTTTACCACTCTGCAGCAGGCATGAAGTTTTAGGGACTGACATGCCCCTTGAGCAGCATTAACCCAGCACTGAGAAGAGCCATCATGAGCACCTCCCAGCCCTTGGAGGAGATAACCCCCATATACTCTGTGTGCTGCTTGCTAGAGCTCCAGAAGGATTGGGCTTCAGGAGCCCATGGAAACTATCTCCCTCATGCCTCAGCCTTTGCATCCTGGGACCACTTCTCACTTAAAGCACTTGCTTTCAAATCCTCACCTTGGGGTTTATTATCTGGGTAACCCAAACTAAAATTGGCCACTGAGAAGCAGTATACATGGTTGCAAGAGACAAGGGCTTTGGAACCAGCATGCCTGGGCTTGAGGCCTGACCTATTAGTGACGTAGCCATCTGTGCCTCATCTGTAAAGAGGCGTTGTGATGACACACACCTTGTGGTGTCTGGAGGGTTTGAGTGATACATACAAGTGAACATTCAACAAACATTGCTCTTATTTCCAATAGAGCAAATGCAGGAGGGAGCTGGTTGTAAGAAATAAGTGTGCCCTGTGTTTAGCCTGCCCTTCTCCCCAGCTAGCCTTGGCCTCCTGCCCTGACATCCCCCCTCTGCTGCGGGGGGTGGCCGGCTCCACCACTGACTGGTTCTGCTCTCTAAGAATAGGCTTCCCTCGCAGATGGCATCTCTCTGGATCTTGCCAGAGCATCTGGTGCCTCCAACTGCACACTCCAGGGAGGAAGGCGGGGTGGTCCCCACAGAGAGGAGCAGATCCTGTCTTCAGCAGCTTTGGGAAGAGCCCAGCTTCACTCTTCCCTAGCTAAGCCTCCATTTTTATGATCTATATGTAGGAAATGCTAAAGAACCATTGGCATACACGGAGGAGCTACTGCCATTCCTGAATGGGACTTCCTGAAACAGCAAGGTAGATAAATCTGCAATTACTGCCTGCCACATTTGTATGGAGTCTTTTGACATGCCGGACTTAAAAATTATCTTATTATTTAATTAACTTTCTCCCTTTTGGGAGTCTTGGTTTTGTTTTCTTAACACGGGGTATCATGTAGCCCAGGCTAGCCTTGAACTCAATATGCAGCTGAGGCTGGCCTTGAATTCCTGATCCTTCTGCTTCTACCTGCTGAATGCTGGGATTACAGGTATGTGTCATCCTGCTTGGGCTTTTTGTTTTTTTCTTGACACAGTCTCACTCTATAGCCCAGGCTGACCTGCAACTCACTGTATAGCCAAAGTTAGGCATGGCAGTGTATTCCTGTACGTTCCTGTCATCCTCCTTTTCAGAGGCAGAAGCCAGCACTGCATGAGAGACCCTGTCTCAAAAAGCACCCCCTCCCTCCTTAGTACAAAACTCAAAGGTTGGTGCACTCATTTAGTCCCAGTACTTGGTAGGCAGAGGCAGGCCTGTGAGTTTGGAGAACAGCCTGATCTACATAGTAAGTTCCAGGCCAGGCAGGGATACACAATAACCCTG